GACCGTGAACGCACGCCCGAGCGCCAGGAGGGGCCGGGAGGCGCTCCCGGAGGCTGCCCTGGATACGGGGCATGCGCAGAGACCTCCCCTTCCCAAGGCCCGTGAGGAGTGGGCGGGGATTCTGGAGGAGAGGGTAGGAAGACAGAAGAGGAACTCCAGGGCTAAGGGTCTCACTGTGAGCTCTCTATGTCCATTCCCAGAAACGGCAGCTTCCTTCTCTAGTCCACTCGTTACATCAGATACTAAACATTTATGGTGCATGTATGTTACAGACTACACAGCAGTGTGCCAGAGGAGTAGACATTTTGCCTTTCATTTTGGAATTCCCATTGGACTGATGAGAGGAATAAATAAATAAGAGATCATTCTACATTTGAAAGAGCAAACATTAATTACACTCTTCGTGATAGAGGGAAGGAAAATGGCTTGCAGTGCTAATGAAAGCTTAGTTGAGAAATGGAAACACAGGCATAGAAGTCAGAAGGCAAACTTACCTGTTGGGGAAGATAAACAAAGGGCAAAGCCTTGAAGTAGTCTGTGAATTCCTGAATGCTCAGAGGCAAGAATACCCTGACTGCTGTTTGGAGGGTTAAGAAAACAGCAGCTGGAAATACAGTTGAAACTCATCTGGAAATAATCTTTAATGTTTTCCCCAAGATTCCAACTCTAGTGAATAAATGGGAAATTCTTGAAATGGGAGAAAGGAATCCTGCCTTGGCCTTTTGAGGTATGTCTGAAATGCTTAGCTATCTTCTATGTAGAAAGTAGTGGACACCCAAGTTCAAGAATATAGACAGAGTTTGTAATGAGCCAACTCCCATGGGATACTGATCAGAGAGGTCCCTGTGTCCCACAAAACAATATAGATTTGTTATTATATTATTTATGATTTATTAAAGCTTTCCTGAACATCAGAGTGCAAAGCTATCCACATGCATAGAGGCCAGGCAGTGACCATACACATATTTTATCCCAACACTCAGGAGTTAGAGGCAGACAGATCACTGCTAGTTCAAGGCCACCCTGAGCCACAAGAAACTGATCCAGTATAAAAGAGAAACAGAGCTCACATAAAGGTGATCTCAGCAGTTGAGATCACCTTTAGTCATGCCTTTAATCCTAGCACTAGAGAGGAATATAAGGCAGGAGGAGACAGGAGGAGCTCAGGGTGGTCTGAGTGAATCTGAAGACCACCTAACAACAACTGGTTCTGTTTCTTGGGATAACTCTGACTAATACAACTTGTAACCTTATGAAGAATATAATATCAACTAATTTTCAATTGAAAAACCGAACATAATTTTTAACTTGCTACCTTTAAAAAATATAATTCAACTATAAAAAACTCCAGTACATATCTCTTTGTCTCTGTTTCTGTCTCTATCTCACTCTTCTCTTGCTCTGTATCAACTCTTGCGTATATATATATATATATATATATATATATATATATGCTGGAACACATATATGCCACATAGGTAACATCGATGAATACATGTAAATTAAAGAAAAACAGGAAATTCAAAGTTGAGTCATTCATAAAAAGTTCCACATCACCAAATCAAACGTAGTTAGAGTTCTCTAAATTCAAGATCACATCTTTTGGGAAACAAAATAGAAATGATGGCCAAATCCTAGTAAACTAACAAAACTGTGTTATAATGTTGTATGTTGTCTTAGTTAGGATTTTATTGCTGTGAAGAGACACCATGACCACAGCAACTCTTATAAAGGAAAGCATTTAACTGAGGTGGCTACTTATACTTTCAGAGGTTTAGTCCGTTATCAGCATGGCAGGGAATGTGGAGGCATGCAGGCAGACATGATGCTGGAGAAGTAGCTGCTACGTGTTGATATGCAGGCAATAGGAAGTAGAGTGAAATACTGAGCATGGTTTGAGCATATGTGAGACCTCAAAGCCCACCTCCACAGTGACATACTTCCTCCAACAAGACCACATCTGCTCCAACAAGGCCACACCTCCTAATAGTGTCACTCCCTTTGAAGGCCTTTTTTTTTTTTTTTTAAAGCCAACACATGTATGTTATAATGAAAGTAACCTTAAAACAACCAAGTCTCTAATTGTTCCTTGGCCCATTTTCCTCGATTTCTTCTGTCTGTAAACTTTCTGTTTAACTCAATGAAGCAAATTTCTGTTTCATAGACTAGATACTACTCATTCATGAACCACTAACAAAGCCAATGGAATCCTGGATATGCCCTTGAAGTTTTGTGCTTTGACTTATATATGTGATTTTTATTCCAATTTTTTGGTACCTGTTGAGGTTGGCTAATTTGCCGAGTATATGGTAGATTTTAGAGAAGGTTCTATGTGATGCCGAAAAGAAGGTATATTCTTTTGTGTTTGGATGGAATGTTCTATAGATGTCTGTTACTCCCAATCGGATCATAACTTCTGTTAGTTCCTTTGTCTCTTTATTAAGTTTCTGTCTGGTGGTCCTGTCCAGTGGTGAGAGTGGGGTGTTGAAGTCTCCCACTATAACTGTGTGAGGTCTTATTTGTGATTTGAGTTTTAATAATGTTTCTTTTATGAACATTGGTGCATTTGTATTTGGGGCATAGATGTTTAGAATTGAAACTTCTTCCTGATGTATTTTTCCTGTGATGAATATGAAATGACCTTCTTCATCTCTTTTGATTGATTTTAGTTTGAAATCTAATTTGTTAGATACTAGAATAGCTACCCCAGCTTGTTTCTTGGGTCCATTTAATTGGAATATCTTATCCCAACCCTTTACTCTGAGGTAAAGTCTGTCTTTGAATTTGACTTTTTGTATGCAGCTGAAGGGTGGATTCTGTCTTCCTATCCATTCTGTTAGCCTGTGTCTTTTTATAAATGAGTTATGACCATTAATACTGAGGGAAATTAAGGACCATTGAGTGCTTATTCTTGCTTGCTTTTGATTTGTTGTTGGTAATGGTATTGTATGTGGATTTACCCTGCTTTTTCTTTTGGCTTTTGGTAAAGTGGGATTATCTATTGCCTACGTTTTTGTGAGTGTAGTTGACTTCCTTAGGTTGGAGTTTTCCTTCCAGTACTTACTGTAGGGCTGGATTAGTGGTTACATTTTTTTTTTTTACATCTGGTTTTGTCGTGGAATTTCTTTTTTTTTCCCTTTTTATGGTCTTGTACTTACCTTGGCATGTCTTTGTTTAGGTTGGGAAAGTTTTCTTCTATTATTTTGTTGAATATGTTTTCTGGAACTTTGAGTTGGGTTTCTTCACCTTCTTCTATACCTATTATCCTTAAGTTTGGTCTTTTCACAGTGTCCCATATTTCCTGGATATTTTGCAATAAGGATTTGTTGGATTTAAGATTTTCTTTGCTTAATGAATCTATTTCCTCTAGTTTATCTTCAGCATCTGAGATTCTGTCTTTTATCTCTTGTATTCTGTTGGTTATGCTTGCATATGTGGTTCCTGATTGTTTAATCAGCTTTTCCACTTCCAGCATTCCCTCAGTTTGTGTTTTCTTTATTGTCTCTAATTCAGTTTTCAGGTCCTGAACTGTTTCCTACAGCTGTTTAATTGTATTTTCTTGGCTTTTTTTTTTTTTTTTTTTTTGGCTTTTTGCTTTTGGGTTTTGTGTTTTCTCTGAAGGATTTTCTCATTTCCTCTCTTAGTGTATCATCTTCATGAAGTTGTTTTTAAGGTTGTTCTCTTCTGCTTCATCTGTGTTGGGATGTTCAGGTCTTGCTGGTGTAGAGTCTCTAGAATGGTGGTGTCATATTGATTTTTCTGTTGTTGGATGTGTTCTTATATTGTCACCTTCCCATCTCTTCTTCCAGTGGGTGCAGGTGGAGTCTCTTCCTTTCCTAGTGTGTATGGGTCCAAGGTTCTCTTCTGGTGGGTACAAGAGGGTCCAATACTCTGGTGGGTCTCAAGGTGGGTGCAGGTGGGTCGGAGGCACTTGCTCTCCAGTTAGGTAGGAGCAGGACTAGCACAGATATGTCAGCAGACTCGGGGTTGCTTGGTCCTCAGGGGCCGAGTCAACCTGCCTGCAGACCCCAGAGTGCTGTAATTTTTATTTACATATAAAATATCCATCTGTGGTGATATGTTGTTTACGATATAACAAATAAAGCTTGGCTGAACATCAGAGTGCAAAGCTATCCACATGCATAGAGGCCAGGCAGTGACCATACACACCTTTTATCCCAGCACTCAGGAGTTAGAGGCAGACAGATCTCTCTTAGTTCAAGGCCACCCTGAGCCACAAGAAACTGATCCATATAAAAGAGAAACAGAGCTCACATAAAGGTGATCTCAGGAGTTGGGATCACCTTTAGTCATGCCTTTAATCCCAGCACTAGAGAGGAATATAAGGCAGGAGGAGACAGGAGGAGGTCTGAGTGAATCTGAAGACCACCTAACAGCAACTGGTTCTGTTTCTTGGGATAACTCTGACTAATACAACTTGTAACCTTATGAAGAATATAATATCAACTAATTTTCAACTGAAAAACTGAACATAATTTTTAACTTGCTACCTTTAAAAATATAATTCAATTATAAAAAACTCCAGTACATAATAGGAACAGGATAAATGACAAATAGTATCACCTGTGAATGAATACCAAAGGCAAAATAAAAGAGGGAAGAGTGATATTTTCGCCTTGAAAACACTTTTCTCGGGTCACTAGGTAATAAATATGTAAAAACCAGATTTATGATATAAAAGGAAAAATTGATATCCATAGCTACAATGCAGAAAGGAGGACACATGCATATATTTTCGTTTTATAAATAAATGTCCTAAATAGAAACTAATTAGGAATACATAATAGATGCATGCTAAGACACCAGAATTACAAAGGCAGACATATAAGAACATATTTGCTCATTTTCTTCTAATTTCTCTTCTGATTCTGTTCATTCTGTTTGCTGCCAGGGTGGGAAAAACCTGGGAGCTTACTTCTAACAAAATTCCTAACCTCCCAGAATGGCTGCATGTTGCAGCATTCAGTCTGTATTAGCGTTTTTATTGATTCCTTTCTGGAGAATCCAATAGCTGAGGGGAGTATGCAAAAATGATTAAAATATTCCAGTTATTCTACAAATATCACAATATGTTATTCTGGGTAATGCCTCTGTCTTGAGGGGGTTTATTAAATCGTCCAAGAAAAAGAATTCTGACTGTAATTTAGAAGAATGTGACAGGTACCTTAAGAGGAAGTGAATGATTTGGCCAATTATACTTTATCAGATAGTTAATGCCAGAGGCTTTCTTTACTTATGATGGCCTCACCATGGTTCCTAGCCAACGAGGTATGACAGAACATTTAAATAGGTTTCAGTTGAGGTAAGTAAGTATTAGATAACCTAACATTCTCATTCCACTGATTCTGGGCTTCTCAGATGACAGAACACTGGAAGGGAAGATGTGTCAGAAGTACAGTTCATTTAGGCCTAAAGTTCATTCTTATCTTTTCTTATTGTCTTGGTTAATTATTTACAGGAGAATTTAAATTAAAATATAGGATAATAGTTTTCCGGACATAATGGAAATTTGTAACAAAAGCACATAAAACTACCATAACAGAATGTTTGGTTGGGGCTGCTAATGAGAGGAGTTGGAAGCTGTTGCCATGTACAGCATGATGACTGCTGTTCTAGTTCTGTTACTGGCCCCATTCTGATGGACCACCTTTTTCTTTTAACAAAGCATAAAATACTCCATTATGAAGAACTGCAAAGCCAGAACTAACATAAACAAATGATTTGGGGGACATTACATGGCGTTTTAGTAGTCTTTAAATCATCAGGATGTTTTACTATGAGAATTTGTGAATCTCTTCATTTTGTAAACTTATCACATGAACTAGGAAATAAATTAGTCTCAGGAATCTATGCAAGAAATGGAAGCATTTTAATAAAATTGTCAGGAATTGCCTCAAACCTTAGATGAAAAATTTCATTTGATGAGTAATAGTAATGATAATAGAAGTTTCAAAATAATATCTAATAAACATAAATATTGTATACATGGAATTATAAAGATATATGACAGATAGATAGATGATAGATAGATAGATAGATAGATAGATAGATAGATAGATAGATAGATCTAAGCCAGAGTTATTCAAAGATTTTGAACCTTGAAAAGGCATCTTACAAATTAGACAATCTGCTAGCTTCTAATACATCTCTTTTCCATGCACCCTTTCTTTTATTAGTTCTATTAAGATAATACATTGTCCAGGTTCATATTATAGTAGAATGTTGTCTTTTTATTTAGCAGGTAATGGCATTGTGAGAGTATTTGACCTTGTAATGATTAAAATTTAACAAAAGGGTTAACAAACATGGTACTAATAATTACAAATTCAGTCTTCCTCTTTTCTTTTAGGATTTTATCCCATTGACAAATGTGACTGAAGCAATATTTTAACAAGGTGACATCAGGCTTGGTGACACATGCCTATAATCCCACCACTTGGGAGGCTGAGAAAAGATGACCCAGTGAAGCCTTGATTACATAGAAGACCCCATATCAAAAAGTGAAAAACTAGATCCTCTAAAAGCAAAACAAATAAAACACTCTAAAGCAACAAGATGACTTTTGTACATCTTAATTATTTCTATACCTGAAATCATTCTTAAACTTAGTGTGGTGGTTTGGATGAAAACCACCAACATAGACTCATAGGGATTAGCATTATTGGAAGTGCGGCCTTGTTGGAATGAGTGTGGCATCATTGGAGTGAGTACGTCACAGGGGCTGGGCTTTGAGATTTCAGAAGTTCAAGTTAGGATCAGTGTCCCCCTCTCTCCTTGCTGCCTGCAGATCCAGATGTAGGGCTCTCAGCTCCTTCTCTAGCACCATGTCTGCCTGCATGCTGTCATGATGACAATGAACTAAAATCTCTGAAATGTAGGCCAACCCAAGTTAAATGCTTTCCTTTATTAGAGTTGCCATGGTGCTTCTTCCCAGCAGTAGAAACCTAAACCAAGACACTTTGTATCAGTGTTACATTTAAAATATTAAATTTAGTGTAATCATGAAAATCAAATTCTTGTAAATCACTTTGCATGAGCAGTGAGAAAAGGTAAAAGTTATATATTGAGCTATAGTTCTTTAAAAAAAAAATGAACCTGTCAGGGAAAATTTCACTGTTTTCTTGACTGTGAGCACACACTTTGTTATGCCAATTTCTCTAAGATCACATAAACATTAGAATACTTATTTCCATGTCATCTTTCTTTGTAGTGGGGGGCAGTGTAGATCAGAGCTGCTTAATACAAAGGCATTTAATAGTGGCACTTTCAAAATGATTAGGGACCAACTTTTTTTTTTCTTTCTTTCTTTCTTTGTCTTTTCTTTCTTTTTTTTTTTTTGAGTCAGGACTTCACTTTCTGCCTTAGACTGGCCTGGAACTTGTTATATAGCACAGGCTAGTTGGAACTAGCTTCCTACCTGACTTAGGCTTCCAAGTAATGAGATCACAGACATGTGCCACCAGACTATGCCAACACAGATAAAATTAGTTTTGATACTGTTTTCCATTTACTATATCAAAATATCCTTTCAAATATAATGAATAAAAGTATTTTAACAATGTATTTTTACTTCTTTTCATTCTGTCTTTGAAATCTGGTACGTTCCTTTCATTACCAGTTCATTTAAATTCAGATTAGCCATATCTTGAATGCTTCCTAGTTATTTGTGGCTATCATATTGCACAACACGGATTCAGGCATAATAAGTGCATAGCACTTATTCTTAAATTTACTTATATTTGTTCATGTATATCAGCGTATAAAATTATGCTGAAATATACTAAGAATATAGTGTATTTAATACCCTTTATAAATGAGCATCACTGTATATCTTAAGAATACTTGCTAATAAAAGTCTGATGCTTAGTTAATATACCCACATTCACATGTAACATGGCCTATTCTAGGTTGCAATTTAATCCTAGTACTTGATTTAAACTGCTGATCAGTGTCTCATCTGTAGAAGACTTGGCTAGAAGGAAAATCTCTTTCTCTGCTGCAATTTAGTCTTGATGTTATTTTAATTAGTATTTAATTATTGAGACAGGCTCCTGCTATGTTTCTCAGGCTGTACTGGGCTCAAGTGATACTCCTGCCTCAGCCTCTCAAATAACTGGGATAACAGCTATGTGTTACTGTGACTGGCCAATAAGAGACGCAGGTTCTTTATACTGTTTTGTTAACCAACAGGAAAGTAGTCATTTCCATATCTTCATGAAGACAAAAGTCTTCTGTTTTAAATCAATCAATGTCAGTCTAAGAGGCAAGTTGAGACATACCAAGATACCAAGTCTAAGAACAAAGAGTTTATTCATGCAAAAATGAGGAATGCCATCAGCAAGAAAACAATAGTTCTCATTGTCTAGAATAAGTGCTTCCAAAATGGCTCCAAAGGCTCTCAGACTTTATAGATTAAAAAAAGGGCAACAACAAGAATGGTATGGCAAAACACTTAGTACAGCAGTATTGGTCAGTAAGAACAGCACAGGACATTCTTGGTCACTTATACTACACATTCCAGATTAGAAATGAAACAAACAGGAAAAGACTTTTACAGGGAAGTTCTTTATTATCTTTATAACATCACGGAATTCACAGACGCACACTCTGTTAGGTCAGGATGACCTGAATGACCATGGCACCATGCTTCACATTTATCCCAAGGCAAAAGAATTTATGATCTCATTGCTATACCATTTGAAGTCTTTTCTCAACTTTTATTAACTTTCAACTCTATTGGTTGGTTGGATGATTCTGCTCCTAGGAAGGCTGCCACTAACTTCTGAACTTTTTCAGACAACTCCCTGGATGATGGGTTGCTGGAGGCCAAGGATTCTAGTAAAGTCTTAAGTGAAACAACTCAGCTCTGCTGCAGGTGGTCTCTCTTAAAGTCAAGTCACAGAACCAAGAACACAGCGAGGCTATGGTGGTGACAATAAGAGCCCACCTAAGACAAAAGCATAAGCACATTTTAAAGACTGCATCAAGTTGCCACTGTATCCTTAGCCAAAGCTAGTCCCATAGGTGAGACCAGCATTGCCACGAGAGGCTATCCAAAGGCTGTGAATTCAAGTATCAGTGCATCCAGGACACGTGCACAGCATATATGAACTCTGTGTACTCAATTAGTCCTGTCATGTATTTCTAATTAACCAGTTTATTCCTTTACATTGCTCTCTGTCTTATGTTATATAATTATTGCAATGTTGATTTTTGTTTAAATTAGATCTCTCCTTCAAATTTTATTTGTATCCCTTATAGACAGACTTTTCTTTATATTTCAGTCATTTTTCTACTTTTAAAAATCTCTTCTTAAAATGATTATGTGGATTAATAATAAAAATGAATATAATCTTTGATCAGCAAGCCATAAAGACATGCAATAGAATGCAAAGGCCTCATAAATTGTCTTGATTCCAAAAAAGATTGTAAATGCTGTACATTTTGTCAGAATTACGAATCTGATTTCAAAATAATTAAATAAATGCTAATTTGCATGTTATATTGACAATATGCTTTTTCTGTCCGCTTGCTGATCATTTGAACCTTTGTTTTCCTCTTCACTACTTTGTACTTAATAGCTTGATCCCTTATGTAAAACCTTTCTTGCTTGTGTTTTGAGACTAACATACACAGATCCAAGCATTACAGTAAAGGACATTATATTTTACCAACTGGCAATATGGCTAAGATTTTGCTTAAGACTGAAACCAAGTGTGTTTTCTTCTCTAAGATAACTTATTTTGTGCCTCTTGAGTTTCATTTTATATATATATATATATATATGTATATATATATATATATATATTCTAAAAATATATTCTAAAAAGAAATATATATCCTTTTGTAAATGCCTTTAAGCAGCCATTGTGAATTATTTGTTACTACATTAAGCCTTATACCAGTAAATTATACTTCATACAGCTTTGAATTGCCATGAAACATTTTATGCCAGCACAAGTAAATAACAAAAAAATGGACTAATAAAACATCACCAGGATATGCTGTACTGTTTGCCCTTTGAAAACGTTTACCACTCTTTGCATGCTCATGATGAAGAAAAGACTCAGTTTTCTTGTGTGTATCTGGAGAAGGCTTTCTTCCCCATCAAATAATAACTTGAACTAGACTCCCTATTGTTCTAATTCTCCTAAGGTTAGCTTCCTTGGATCCTACATGACAGGAAAACATCATATAGCACAAGACCTCCTTGCTTTGGCTTTCTTCAGCAACAAATAGAATTCAAATGAAAGTAGTTTGGTTGGCAGTGGTCCATGGGAAAGCTTGTGGTAAAGGGGGGAAATGAAACAATGAAGGAGAAGCAGCCAAGTACGGCTGCAGGCAGCTGGAGTTGCAGTATGCTGGGGACTCTGAGAGCTGGCATAGACACATACACACAGGGATAGCCCAATGATGGGCCAGGAATTCATAGATTGTTACTGACTACCTCCTGCTGATCAAGTCATAAGAGAGAAGAATCATTAACCACTGGTTCTCATCCATCTATTATTTGGGGTGTGCTCAGAGAAACTATTTCCCTAGCACTTTCCTTCAGTTCCTGTTCATGAGCTGAACAAGGTTCTGTGGCCAGGAAAAAGTAAATGCAATTCATCAGCTCATAAATGAACTCTAATGTTCTTGCACTTCTATGAGCAGAGTGGCATCAGGATGTCCTGGGTACATGGAGACACAAACATCACACAGTCCCTTCCAACGCAAATCTGAATGTGATCTTCATTCCCCTGAGGGGTGATCATCATTCTCATGTTTACTTTTGCTGCCTTCTCTGCTTCTTTCAAAATTCAAAATCCTTCTTGCAGGCATGTGCTAATGACACACACAGCAGATAGCCTACATGAGAGCAAGCCCAAGCTGCCAGACTGTAACTGCACACTCTGTGAAAGAAACTTTTCATTCAGGCTGTTTGTAAAAAAAGAAAAAAAAGTCTGGAAGCTGTTTTATGAAGATACAGATGTCTAGAAGGAGTTCTGAAAGCAAAATTGCCTGCAGCTCTCTACTGGTCTACCCCCAGGGGGAACATTTACACCGTCTCACTTTCTTCCTGCCTCCAAATTGATATTTGGCTCTGGCTGATGGCAAGTGAGTTTCAGTGGTCACAGATGATCTAGTCACAGACTAGAAGAAGCTCCAAACCTATGAACCAAAACCAAACTTTTTCTTCTAGTAAGTTGTTTGTCATAGGTTTCTGTTTTAAGGTTACAGAGCTGACTAACACACTGCTAACTATCTTACTAATACACAGAATATTGGTCTTCACTCCTCAAATAATTATACATCCTCAAAGTTCTATGGAGACCCTAGAGAAGAACTCTGATACAGAGAAACCATATCAATGGGAGATGATGATGCTCCAGGCCATGCATCCCAGTTTCCTCTTTTAATTTCCTCTGTACTTCCAATTTTTAATCTAACAAGCAAAGTTTCCATTGATTTCTAAAGGTGTTTCTAAGCATGTTAGCAGGCACAACAAGGAAGCTCATTATGAATTTTGAAACTTTCTTTCATTGAATAAGGGAGTGTCAGCCTGACCTTT